GGCACTGCTCGCTCCGTTCTTTACCAGAACTATATTTCAGAAAGTTCATGGGGGGTTGGGAGGGTATATTCTTCACACGAGTTATCTTTGCTAAAAATGTCAAATCGGGCTGTGATATGTATACTAACGTAGTATTGAAGCTATCATGCCTTGCACTGTCCAAGGCCAGCTACAAATACATATGGCAAGATCAGCCAAGCTCTTATAAGCAAGCCTTACTCAACTCTCCTGGAGATCTCGAAATACGGTTTTCAGACCCTATTGATGCTGTCGTGATTAGCCAAGTTCACCAGAGACATCTAAATAAGGCAAACGGCGATTGGCGAACGCCGGCAAAAGGCCCAGAACGCCAGTGAGCACTGGGACTGCCCGGTGACGATGGTGCCAAGTTTAAAGCTGACAATATATCCCCAAATGACAAGGTCTACAACAGGTTGGAGTGTGAAACCCTTTCACTCTCGCGAATTCCCGGCTTTGGTCAATCCTTGGGAATGCAATTCGGCAGCAGCTTCTAACATAATCTTGCGAGAATATGCTTTGAACGGCGCTGGCTTCAAATACTGCGCGACTACAGTCGTTCTCCCACGCTCGTCTCGCTCGAGATATATATCTTGCTCGAGATATATATTGATGGGTTGTGACCATGAAGCCTGGCAAAAATTAAGATAGTATATATACGTATCAGGACATGTTGACGTTATCTACTCGAACGGGTTTTCAGCTTAAATCGCGGTCGTATGTCAGTTGCTTTTGAGCAGATGTGTCTCTGGGTTTCGTTCGGAGGGCGATCCGAATCTCGCTCGGTTGAGTCGATGATCTATCAATCTACCCTATCCTAAAATGTAATGAATAAGGAATATTATCTTCTCGCCTTATAAGGGGGGTTTGGCGAGGCATTACATCACCCGGACTTGCGCCACTATTCAACACATTGAAACTGGCCAGCGCCTGGTTTGGATCTCTGGCAGTGCTAAATCTGAACCCTTTCGTCTTGTATCTAATTGACAGCCCTACTGCGAGCGTACCATTCGCGGGGATTTCAGCTCTGCCAAATGAAATACGTGAGTTGCGTCGGCGCGAAGCTCAGGCTTGGGTATATAGTCGGAATGCAATTGTGCGCTGTTGCACGCTGAATCAGGAGGGGGGGGGGGGGGGGGGGGGGGGGGGGGGGGGGGGGGGGGGGGGGGG